TATTAATATAATTATTTATAACTCTGCCAAAAAATATATATAATTGGCACAAGAATGACTATAAAAATGACTATAATTTAACAAAATAAAGAATACGAATAATTATTTAATCTTTATTAGATTAAAAATCAAAATAAAATAATGAACTTTTTTTAAAATTATAAATTACAGTTAAATTATAATTATGTAATTACATAATTTATCTTTCATATGTAATTACAATCATTTTTTTTTAATGGACATTGTTTTTTCCTTAAAGAAAAGTACAGAAAAATTAAAAAAATATTTGAAAAATGTAGAAATTCGATGGGGAAAAGTATAGAGTTGCCGTGATTTATTTACAAGTCGTATTCTGGCTCATCAGACATTCGTAAGCGGGAATTCGACTTTAGAATTTCAGATCAGTCTAAAAAACACGTAAATTCCAATGCACGGTCACTCTTATGTAAAAATTGCGATCGCATGCAAATGTCACTCTCGTATTAATTCGAGAATGATGCCCGCTGTAGAACAGGATTGTGTCCGCGGTTGTGAAAGCGGATCTTTTATTTTGAGATAATTAGTAGGTATTATACCCATATCAAAATACATATTTAACAGAAAAAGCTGAAGAAATGTTTTTTCCGTGTTTTATCTTTACAACGATAACATCTTCGAAATGTTTTGCATGTATAAAATAAAATGTGATATCAACTTCTCTCTTCTCATTTAGTCGAGTTGTTTAGCATAATTATTGCCACATATTATTGAAGTACGTGAGTGAACCAAATTAAGACGATGAAATTTTTAATCACTCCTTTTTTCCTACCAATATCTGATTTTTAATTCTTTGATTAAGTACGATTTGTTGTTTGAAACTCTTCTTGGGAATGATCTATAAAAATCACTTCAAGGGGAAGGAAGTACTCTTCAGCAGTACCTTGAACTTTATAGATAAAGTTCTCCCACTCAGATTACGATGGTTAAATTAATTAAACCGAGGACGTTTACGTTTTTATTTAGGTTACGTGTGTTAATAGTATGCAAGTAAAAAAAAAACCGATAAAACGTAAAGGGAAAACGCGATAAAATTTTTACACACAGAATACATGTAGTTATTTTAAAATTCACTGTTCATAAAAGATAAAAGAGCACTTATGCAACAAATTTATTCTTTCAGCTGCTTTTTCATGTGTATCTTTAAACGTAATTATTAAAAAAAAAATCAAGATAAATTAGTAGCGTCAATTGAATCTGTATACCGAGAGAAAAACGTTTGATATTTGTGACTACAAATTACGTGGTAAAATAATTATGGCTAGAAGTTTTATTTTTATAATTATCGCTACTATAATACTATAGTAATAATAATTAAGTATAGTTATAGTTCTATATGCCAAAAAGAATATATAGTTAGCCCCAAATTATCAAAAATAATATAATTATAAACGAATATAATAGACTTTTTGCACTCTTCAAACATTTTTCTATATTTCTCCTTCCATTTTCTTTCAAAAAGAATATATTTATTTATTGTTTATGCTTTGAGAGAAGTAAATAGTTGCAATTATCATATTTAATGATAATTTATAATTATTTTCCGATGCCAATTAAATATACTTTTTATTAAAAAAATTATAAATAAAATTATTACTGATATTATTACTATAATACAGTAGTAAAATTATAATTAATTTCTTAACTGTCATTATTTCATTATATAATTACAGTCATAAATATAAAATACTTTCCTTTCATTGTCAATGTACAAATCGTTACTTAAATCCGTACAGAATTCATGCGAAACTTCGGACCACGAGGGCCTATATTACTGTATAAACAGTACGTATCTTGTATACACATCTCATATACACACAATAGTACTGCCGTGTTTGGAATTAACGGGGAAGAAGGCGGACACGTTTCCTTCTTCGACGGACAAGCGCCGATTTCAAAGATGACGAACTTTCCGCAGTAGCAACCGTTAGTCATGATGACACTGAGAGTGTTTAACGATTACATATCACTTATAATTTCCTTCCGTTATAATGCCCGGGCGAAATGCGCCGTTGGGACGGGATGACTTTTGATAGGCAATTGATAGTCACAAGGTTGTATCCTCTCTTCTTACACACACTGAGGGAAAAATTTTTGGCACTATAATTTACATGTTACTGGCATCTGATGATCCTTTTTAAATCTTACAACTTTTATTTGAAGCTTTTTTTTCAAAAATGTATTGTTTTCGAAATAGTTTGATGTCTAAGTTAAAATGGGACACCCTGTATAATTTAGTTGACAACAAAAAATGAGTATAATTATAGATATTCTTATCTCTATCTCATAAAATTGCAATTGGCACAAATCAACTATAATTGATACTAGTCATTTTTTATTATTATACATTTTTATATGGCTGTCTAAAAAAAGACTACTTTAAATTGTAATTAAATTATAGTAATTGTATTAATAATTATTTTCGATTACCAATTATGTTTATTTATTGATAGAACTATAAATATAGTTATTATTAATAACATTACATATAGTAGTAATAATCTTAATAATTATAACATGTATTTATAGTCACAAATATGATACCAACAACTTTTTTTTTAATGTGCGATCTGACACCCGCCCCCGACGAGCGCACATCTCAATGAAACCATTCCGCATTCAGCAAAATCGATCGCCGTCTATTTTAGCCTTCACCCTTTTACCGGGGCTCGAGACCTCTACCTATCTCTGTTCACGCGGTAAAGGCGATCTCTGTTGGAATAATTATTTAACAATGACGTCATTACTCATCATCGCCGCGTTCTTAGAATGAACGTCGCGCGCAGACACTGAATGAAAAACTGATAAAATCTTATTCGATTTGCTTTTTACGTAAAAGCAGAAGCCGGTATTTGATACGAGAGCTAATGACGAGCTTTACGTAGAGATTTGCAATTTGCATACGTCCATGACTAAAATAAATGTTTTCGCGTGATATAATCCTTTGATTCTGTCAGTAAATCTTCTCGTTGCGGATTAACGGCACTTGTATGATTCACGTATTCTCAGTGTAACAATTTAAATAAGAATTAAAATGTAATACACATTAGAAATAACATAAGCGAAGTAATATCGAAACGTTCGAAACGTCGGAACTTACAATTTCGAATTTGAAGAAGACAGATTTGTGTAGCAGGTAATATTTGAAGTT